ACAAAAAAAAAAAAAAAAACGATGGAATCTGGCTCGGAAGATAAAATAGCTGGAGGCGATAAAATAGCTGGAGCTTCGTTTTTGGTGTTCCAGTCGCGATGAGACGGACGCGTGCGTCGCGACGCGGTGACACGTACACGTCGTGTGTCGCGCGTCCCCCAAGGAAAATTATGAGCCGAGCCTGGACACTCTATCCTGTCTTTGTCATCCTCTTTCTGTTCTCGCGAATCACCCTGTCTACGAGACATTTCGTGCTCGCTTTTGTCCTCTCGTTCTTCTTATACCTCTTTGCTCGCGACCCGACGACGGTCGCTCGCGATGGAACTTAAGAATGAATTCCAGATCCTTTGAGCGCAAGATTTTTCTTGGTATTCCAGTTTCGTGGCGCTCGGCAAGAAACGATTCGGGAAGTCTGTTTCTTCGACGAGCGTCTCTATCTTTTTGATCGTGTTGCTTGGATTTATTGTGGCTATATGTATAGGGAGCACGATCAACTATGCATTCCGAAAAAAGAGTTCGCGTTGAATTGACTTTTCAGGGAACAAGTTGATTTCGAGAATTTAGGAAGAGAAGGTCACGAGAAACCTTGGCATGCGTCGAGACCGATCACTGTCCAACGTTCCGTGACGCGAACAGGCCTCCACCGAAACCACAGATGCACTTTCGACTTTCGACCACCGTGACAGTGATCGTTGCTTGACAAACCCTGAAATAGCTTCCATATGCGTAGCCCTAGGGAAACAGTCTTCAAAGTATTTTCCATACATTTCCACATATTCTTGATCGCCCTTTTCCTTCTCCATGCTCTGTCGCGTGTCCTCCTACCGATGCACCTTCAACTTTTGCGACGCGATCAACTCATTCTTCCTTGTATGAATATGCTGAAACGTTTCATGATAGCTAAGTAAGTACGATATCTACTTACTATGTTTTTCCACGGTAGAAAGGGTTCTTTAATGGTAAGCGACTTATTTAAAACTATTAACTATTTAGCAGCGAGTCTTTTATCTTTTTTTTTAGCGAGTTTTTTTCAAAGAAACATTGTAATTACGAAGGATTTATTTCGTCTAAACGAATAAATAAAAATAGAGAAGATATCAGGAATTTTGAGCGGAAACTCATTCGCCACCGTTTTCCGAAGATGCTGTTTCTTTCTCCGACATTCTTTCGGTCGTTCGTAAACGTGACTGTCGATTTTCTACAGAATCTACGGTCGATTTACTCCGTGTACTCTGCGTTCGACACTATATTAAATTCGTTTTTGCTGCTTTGTGATCTTTAACTGCGAGTCATGTTCGAAAGTAGCTCTTGGAAATAAAGCGTTTCTATCGCTGGATAAAGTCGACTTATTCGAATATTTTATAATATACGCGATCAGTAGAAAATAAATGACACAAAAGTTATAACAATAAAAATGGTATGCTTTCTTGCAAAAATTTCTATTCGTCCGAAAGTTTGGTCCTTAACGGATAGAACTTGTATCGCGATCTGTCGTTTGCAGGAAGTTGCTTTTTCAGTAGGAGAATCGATTTTCACACCGTGTCCCGGACAAAAAGCTCGTGAATTTACGATAATTACCTAACGACCAACTTCCGAATTCTTCTTTCGAATTTGCCTGTTGTCGGTCGTATAAGCATCAGCGTCGAAGGGTGGCAAGCTACGACGCTTAATGTTCCGTGACGCCTTAAATCTAACCGTAGAAGGAGACTCTCGTCGCGTATGTATCGTGAACAGGGTGACCAGACTAGGGAAAGCCGAAACGTAACTCGTAGACGGCTAGTGGTCATCGACCACCGTGAAGACATTCGATTACGAACGATGAAAGGAGATTCGAGGGTTCGCTAAACGGCGCTACGATCTTTCGACGAACGGACGGTTAAGTTCTCATCGGCAAAGACGAAACGTTCTCCAACGTCTCTTCTGCGTATACCTTCAGTTGCTCGATGTTTCAAGTTGGCGAGAGAGCGAACATATCGCTTTTAAAGAATTTAAAGTTGGCCGATCGTTCCGGAATGCATAGCGATCGTAAGAATATCTTTTCAGCAGCGTAAATTAGTACTTTTTCTCGAGCGTGCATGCACGCGGATACATCCAATACCAAAGTCGCGAACAATAATCGCGCGGCTACGTAATAACACGGGCAGGATAAATACCGGTGATAAGAACATGTAATTAGGTGGGTGGATCGAAGTCAAAAGGGGTCTATGAGTTCTCGCGTTAGCCGGTACGTTGTACGTCCCCTCTCCTACGTTGATCAGGGTGGTCAACCCTTCGCACACGTTACAATGAGCAACGTAATGCAACGTGGAATAGCATGAATGCATAATTTGATTGAAATCGGTGCGCGGCGGCAGGCCAACAATGACGAAGTCCGAGGGGGTGGGCACGCCGCGTACGGACTTCACGCTCCGTTAATCGGGCGCTAATTTTTCGAACCCTTTCGTTACGTCGTGGTAGGTGGACGTTGGTTGCGTAGACATCTAAAACCTTTTCTTCGTTTTAGGAAAAAATCGTTTCCGAAATCGAATTCTCCGTCATGTCGCGTTAATATTTCGAGAATACGGTATTGTCGTTTTTAGCGAAAATAAAGTCCGTTTACGGAAAGAAAAGCGTGAAATTACGATGAGAAGAAGCGAGTTACGAATCGCAACGACGAATCGTGTTCGCGTTAAGAAACAAGCCCGACGACAGACCACGGGCCAAGGGGTATCCCGTGTAAAATTATCTTCCTTCGGTCGTCGGAGAAGCGAGCAAGAAAAGTGGGAGAGACGGTAGAAAGAATGAGAAGAACGATCGAAGCAGCGGGTTTTCCACCCGCTTCGGTGACGCTTCCTCCGCCTAATTGGCACGAATGACGCACGACCCTTGTAATTGCTCGAACGAAGCGAAGTAACCGAAGGATGATATGTTTCTTCCTCCCGTGAACTGCGTCCGAGTTTTCCTCGTTTTTCTTCGAAACGGTCGTCGTTGACGAATCACGTGTTTTCTCTCGTTTCGTCAACTTTAACGTTCCGAGATCATTCGGACTTCACTGATTTAATCGACGCGTCGAAACTTATTTCGATCGCCAGACACGATCCGTTCGCCTCTAATGGTTCGCCATATGGCTGGGACAAACGAGACGTTGCGAAATCATTGCCCTTCATTTTTTAAGCGAGTCGATCGATCGCGAGTGTTCTATGGAGTCATCGTTTTCAATGTAACCAGTGGTTTCTTTTTGTTATGCTCCTCGGTTCGAATAAATTGTTCTCCGGTGACTGGATGTATTTTTTATAAATCGTACAAAGTGCTTTGCTTTCGAGTGCAATCGTATTAAATTAAAGTAGATCGTCGTTTCGATTAAACGTGTATCGAAGTAACGCGAATGTAGTTGCCGTAAATTGTAATTGTAAAGAAGCGTTCGCGGAACGCTGCAAATTCAACTGTTTCCAGAATTGCCTCGAAGGGAAGAAGAAAACGGTAACGCCTGTGCGCGATCGTGTACTGGGATAAAGCGATACAACGACGATGAATAGCTAAAATGACAATGACAGGCTTGATTCGAGAACGAGGGCTCATTATCGAGTCCTTGATTCTTCTGCTGGTTGGACCTCCCGTCGCGAACACGGACTATTTTCTTCGTCTGCCTTTCCACGCGTTTCTTTCCTTTCTTCCTACCCTTCGTACGCTCCTCTACAAATTCCTTTTCCGCGTTCTATCGCTTTTAATCCGACGTTGACGTTTGAAAACGAATATCGAACATACTGGTAAATAAATTAGGTAACTCGACGTGCATTTCAGTTATTCCCACGCGATTAGGCTACTATTTTCTGACCCGTTTTCACGCGTCCTTCCATCAATCCTCCTCCACGATATCTTCGGCTCACTGCCACCGCCGACTCTTGGCAGTTACCCAGTTGGGGGTGAAATATATATTACCAAACGCTTGCTGCCCTCGTAAACTACGCCTAATATACTTTGAATCGAACGGAAATCGAGGTCTAGGAACGCGTCGTTTCCGAAGTTTTACGAATCGAGAAACGTAATAGGTGCGGTCATTACTTAAGATATTAGTTATTTAGAAAACGAAGAATATTGTTCGAGTTAACGAAGCGATTGAATAAGGTATTAATACCTATTCGGTCGTTTAGGCGTTAAAAAAGGAGTAGCGAGAGTTAAGAAAAAGAGAGAACTACTCTGGACGAGCTGCAAGTTCTTCGTCTTTTTCGACGTCAACGAGGCTCTGATTTACTTCCGTTCAGCCAGCGAACCTCGAATAGAACCGTAATAGCTTTTGGCAGTACAATCAAAGGTTTTTGCTTTTCTTGTTTATTCGTGAGGTGATACGGTTCGCGGCACTTCTCCCAGTCCAGCTTTATTTTCGTAACGGAAGCGGGATCGTCGTGTTCGTAAGTCGAGAAGAAGCTCCCATGGGAGGTAGCTTTGCTAACCGTCTCCTTCGATATGTCCCATCACAGAAAGAGATAGGCGTACTCGAGCACGTGTGCCATTCGACGAACCGCGTACTTTTTTCTATCTTTTCCATGAATCGATATTCCTCTGGATAGCTATGCAAATGTTGGGAGGAAATACTTTTCGATAATTTTATTTCCTTTATTTATTAATAGTCGAAATTATAGCTTACATTTACACGATTACAATTAACGACATAGAAGATTTACAAAGAGTGAACGGATTAACGAGTTAAAAAATGTTTGCTACACGTTAAACAGAATACGTACGACGTTTCCCTGACAATTATCGAAGCGTTCACGGCAATACACTTTGAGCAGCACCTGTGTCCAAAGGTGCGATAATGATCAAAGTGCTCGAGTTTCTCGAGTGATTTTTGAAAATTAGTCCTGTAGGTTGACTTTGAAAGGATCCTTTGATTCGCAACCCTTTCATCGCGAATACAACGTACAGACTCTCGTGTAACGTGAAAAGCCTGAAGAGGGGTCGATAATATCTTCGAGTCTGGGACAGTATTTGAAAACAACCCCTTCGTGAACGATCTCTCGAATCTCTCCGGGAAAGCCTGCTTGCTGCTTTTGTGGCTACCGAGATGTACGTACGTTCGAAACCGTTTCGTCGATAAATTCTTTTTCTGAAATTAGGGTCCACGGATGTTAAAAGGGGAGGCCGAACCCCTTTCGATCCTCGAAATATCCCTTGTGAATAACCGAGGAACGAATCTTCCATTCTTTCCGATCGAATTCGCGAGGCAATTTTTCGATTAATGGTGACCCGATGATATCTAGAAATCTCGATCTCGAGCACCGTATTTTTACAGATTCGGCGTGCAAGAAATTCAAAACGAAAGCGACCAACGATGCTCTGCTCATTCTACGGAATAGTTAATTCGCTAATCGTTTCTCTACAGGGTTACGATCGCGTGGCTTTACCGCAAAATGTCGACAATTTTTTTGAAAAACTAAGTCTCCCGCTGGATTATGTGTCACGTTTTGTGCTCACGAATACCCGTCACCCTTCAATCGCGATTAATTTGATCGATAAAAAGCTTGCAGCCAGCACACCTCGCACGAAATTCTAATCTCTCGATCGAAACAGACGTCTCTACCCTCTACAGCTTTGACTTCGGTTCTCCGCCCAAATGCGTTTAATCGAAGTGTCATTTAATTAACTTTTATAACGCCGATAAAACAAATAAGGTACAAAGAAGGAGAACGTTTACGAAAATATCGGACGTTGCTCGTGTCGACCACAGGTATTTCTTTATGAAATTTCGTCGGATAATAGCGTGAATCGTTCGCGCAACTAGACGATGCCGAGCATAAATTAGGATCGATCGGCGTTGTTGCAGTCACGAAGGATTAACGAGGTTACTACTGGAACGAAGCATGAATCAGGATTACCACCTGCCAGGATTTATGATCTTGCGCGCTGTTCCGTCAAGCGTTACTTTTCGCCAACGGGACAGAACCGAAATCAAGTATACAAATATACAGTTTCATCGGCGGTCGACTACTGCTCAAATGCACAGTTATCGCACTGTGAATTCGGTTAAATCGTTTTGAAAATGTTTTTATTGTTTTGCTTGACTGACCAGAGAGTAAAATCATATTTTTACATGGATCGATTCGATTATCGAAGGTGGAGCAGGGAAAAAGAAAAATATTACGGAGGAACGAGAAGGCGGCCGCTTTCTGAAAAAAGGGTCGGGTCGGCTTAACGGTTCAGAAATAAAGCAACAATACACGATTAGGCCATCGAGGGGAATCCGTCTTCTACCTTGTACCGCGTTTCTAATAAATATTTTTCCGCTTTTTCTTCCTTCATTGTTTCCTTGTCATCCTGACATGTTTATATTCTGTGTTCCGTAATTTCATGGACTCGTGCGAAATTCTACTAACTTTAAGTTACAAGTTACAAATTAACTTAGCGCTAATTTGATCCCACACGATCGAACAGAACAGAAAAATTCACCCCTTAGTTTTGTATAGGTCGATACGAATAATTGTCTCGATCGCTAATAATTCTTTACTGCAGCTGCTTTCAGTTTTGCTTTACGTTGCTCGTACATTTATTATTCTTGCAGCTGCGTTATTAATTATTCTTGATTTTCGGCCGGTGTTTAGTCAACTCGACCACCACGTTCGTTGTCCCTTTCGTAAACGAGGCGAACGTATTTAGTCGTTTTCGAGGGGGCGATTCCGAGGGACGGTAATAAAGAAAATTGAAAAAGTTTGAATCGACGTCGTTCATGGAACGCGTTATTCGTCGATTTCTACGCGCGTTACAGAAAGAAATATTCTCATAAAGACGTCAATCATATTTTCAGCTTGCTCCGAGGCTAAGGGAGGATTTCGAGGAACGAATTGAATCGGATCACGGTCGGTTCAGGAACGATAGTTTTTGGTAACGAGAAGGGCAAACAAGGACGTATTTTGCGAAACCTTCTCGACAAAGGACGGAACGTCGTTTAGTAAACTGTTAGATGGGTAGACGTGGGAATTTAAAAAGTACAATTTCGAATAGTTCGACACCGAAAGGAGAAAAAAAGAAAGCAAAGTGGAAGAAAATAGAGAAGCAACATCTCCCTTCTATGAAGCCCAATCGCCTACCCACGAAAAAAGGAACTCGTCGAATCGTTTCCAGTCCCGCGATTTCGAACAATCGACCGTCGCTTTAATTTGGCGAACGCACCCTTCGTTTTCGTTTTAGAAAAATTCGAGGAAAACTAGGGTGACGCGTCGGAACGCGTGTACTCGTGCAGTCTTCTCTTCGAGCCAGCGTCGTAGAATAGGCGCGACAAAAAAATTCTTCCTTTCCCCTGCTTTTTTTCGATTCGAGCAACGAAATCGTTAAGAAAATGTTTTTTTACGCGTGACGCGATGTCGATGAAAATGTTAGCTTTATAACATTAATTGTAAATATTATATTTCCAGGTATTTCCGAAATTCCCGAAGAATGTAACTTTACGAAATCTATACAGATACGGAGGGTACGCTTCTTGTTCGTTCATTAGTTAGTGATCGGGTTCCGAGTAAGAGTCAAGAGGTTCCGTTGTCTTGGACTTTCTTTGTTCGATCGTGGAGCGTTGCATTAAAGAGCGCGGTAAAACGATCTGCCTCTAATTATGAGCGAGGACATGCGGGGCCTTGTGTTTGCATCGAAATTCGCCAGCAGCTATGAAACCGCTCCATTCTCCTGGATCCCTGTTCGGGATATTCTTTCTTGCACGATCCGCTGTTGCGCGCTAGCTCGTACGAGCACCTACGAACGCAGCTGTCCCGCATCTCCGGGGTCGTGAAACGGTTCCGATTTCGTTCCAACGTTCCTCCGCTTTTCTGTCCTTTTCCGCATCGCGGATTTTTCGCTTTCTTTCGTAGTCGCGACGGAACACTACGCTACCGCTACGTCCATTAACGCCGGTTCGTCGACGATGCGCTCCGTCGCAACGACCGAGCACATTACAGTTTCTACTTTTGCGAATGTCGGTTTTTCTTTTTTTATCGGAACGACGTTCGATCGACGAAACGATAAATTCGTCAAAGGATCGAGATCGTGCTCGAAACGTAAGTCGGAGCGAGGAAATATAGAAAGAGAGGTAACGCGTTCTTTCTTGGCACGTGCGGGGGAGTATACAAAAGAATCCGGTCTTTGCATCGAGACCTCTGTACAACCGACAGACGATTGTTTCTTTGAAAAGTAACGGTCGACAAAATTATTCGGTCCTCGAGAAAGATCGCTCGTAGACATTGTTGTTGCCGATTAATTGTCAAATTCGTATCAGAGAATTTTTACTCGAGGGGATATTGCGATCGAGGAAAGCAAAGTTTAGGTAACCGCGGCACGATAGCAGCCATTTCGCTTTATTAAGTAATTTCTTTTGACACGCTAAACGAAGCGGATCGTTTTCGGAGTTGCGTGAACACGGCCCCGTTTGCGGTATACCTCGGAAATCGACTATCCTGACCAGACAAGGATTTCAACGTGGTCGGACGTATACACGTGCCTCGGTCGAACAACGACGGATCGAACCTTTTCTGTAGAGGAAACGACCGTGAGATTAGGAATCGCGCCAAAGGTCCGCCACTTTGACGCGGATTCGAGGAAACTTTGTAAACAGTGCCGAACGGTTGGATCTAGGAGGCTGGGTGACTGTCTCTTGGGTCTTTCGATGGCTAGACTTTCTCTTTCCGCACGAACACAGATGTATTTTCAAGTAGCTCACTGAAACGTGCATTGAATTTTCTAGCCTATACAGTGCACGGTACACGACGTTTCGATACTAATATATCATTCGTGATCTCGAGTGATTTCCTTCCTCGTGTTGAGCATATGGTACCATTTATTTGGATCATGATATCGCGACGAACATTTTTGATGGATCTTTATCTTTAACTTACTTTCGATAAGCCTCATATAAATATGTATAAAAGAAACGAAAGGAATCATACGACTTAGCGAGTCGATCGAAGCAGGGAGAACTCGTAGCTATGTGTCACACCTAGTTTGCATTTTGCAGGTTCTGCCCACCGAATTGCGTACCATGCCGGCAAACACGATTTATTACTATTCGAAAGTTAAAAATACGAAAAGGGAGTATAACTCGACGATAGTCCCGACTAAGATTCATTAGCCGGATATTCGGTTAACGATAGGAGAAAAATCGATTGGCAAGCATGGTACAGCGGGCAACGGAAAAGCGGGCGAAGCAAGGAACGAGGCAAGAATCCGTCCTGTCCGTGACAGAGGAAAGATCTTTTTTATCGCAAAGATCTTTGCCAGCGTCCGGCTATCGGTGCCTAACATTCCGAAGGCTAGCAATCTCGAGATCCCGAGACACCCATCGTCACCCACCAGCGGATCATCGAGCGTCCACCTGGGGCGAGTGGAGTGGAGCTGGAGAGCATAGTTTGAGTGGCTGGCGTGGTCAGGTCACGATCGCTTCGGAGTGGGGGACATAGGTAGAGAGTATAGAGCAAGAGAGAGCCGGTCTCTCCTGTTTCGTAGCCTCACCTACGGACCCTTTCGTACATAAGGCCCACGTTCTTACCCCACCACGTCAGTCGAGAAGCAGCCGTTCAAGTGCCACGTACCGACACCTCGGTACCGCGTTGCTGTGCCTTTTATCGTGAATCGCGTTTCAACCTTTCCTTCCATTTTCTTTTCGAACGTGCGATCGCGATCGCGGATTATGTGCCGTCAAGTTCTGAACTGTGCCTTCATAACTCGTGACTGACATCGACAGATCCTGTATTTTGGATGTACCAACTGAAATCTTCTGGTTCAAGGACACGCGCGGTGAGTAGAGCCTGTTTTTCTCTCGACTCCGGCTCTCGATCCCTTTCAGCTTTCGGCTTTTGCCGAAGGTTCCTTCCAGAGGCTCGACGTAGCGAAATTATTTGAAAATAACGACCTTTATTCGTCCGTCGAAAATCAATCGTTTCGGACAAAGACAGGAAAGCACAGGTTATTTTCATACGCGCGTTACTCGTTGCGATCGCGAGTGGTAACAAATGGTTTTGGTTGCGCGTGTTAGTATTCGTGTTAACAATCGATATTCGCGCAAGGAGCAATCGAAGGCACTTTGGTGACCGCGAGAATCTCAGCCAGCTTTGAATTATTAATGACTCGAATCGATAGAAACCCTTCCCGACGGTCGTCGATTATCGTAGCGTTTCTCGGCGCCAATTTTTATCGCATATATCAATCGTATCCTCGGTACGATCAATGCGTTCGCGAAAGCGCGCTAGTACTGTCCCTCGGATTCTTATCTACTCCGTTTGAATTTCACAAAAAGTTTCGCTGAAAATCCATCGAAGTCTAAAGGGTTTTTATATTAGATAATTTTACTTTAATACGAAGCAGTAGATGACATATTTTTATATGGTATATACCATATAGAGTCGACGACTTCGTTCGTCAGCGTATATTCTGTTCGCGTGATCGCGAAACTAGCAGCATACGCGTATCGCATTTCGATGCGAATAAGTTAAATGCTAAAGAAGGGTGAGAACCCGAGTCGCGACTAAAAGCATGAAACGACAGGGGTAAGGTTTATCTCGAGGCTACGAGCGTCGAATTTGGTCGTTGTCCGAACAAAGGCAAGTGCTTTTTAAAAAGCGATGTTAGAGACTCGTCTAATTGTGAGACTGTTCGATCCGGTAGCACGAGTCGCTGCCGAAACGACGAGGAGCGAGCAAAGAAGACGCGAGACGAAGGAGAAACAAGTAGGAGAAAAAAATGGGAAGGTGAATACGCGTGGCTCGGGTACATCTGTCAAAAGGAGGGAAAAAGAAAGAGGCTCGAGGAAAGAGGTCAAAAGGGAAAAAGGATAAGGGAAGAAGAGGGAGAGAAAAAAATGAAAAGGACCGGTAACGAAGGAGCCAGCAAGGCTAGTCACGGGTCCCATACAAACTTTCCTGTCCAAGTTCCAAGGACCCCGTGGGTCCACCTCGAGGAACCTTTTCTCGAGGATCCCTCTATTTAAATGGCCAGGCGTTTGTTCGCCGGGACTCGTTTCGTTCCATTGTTCCTGCCTTATTTTCGAGGCGCGTCCTGAATGTCCGTAGCCTGTTGGCAAAGGGTAAGCAGTCTTCAAACGTACCCCCGACTTTCTTTACAATTTGCAAATTCCCAGTTTCATTTCGATCGATCATTAACCGAAAACGTCGCTCGCCGCACCCTTTTTGGCCTGCTCGCGTCTGACTTTCGGTTTACTCGTTTGTTCGAATCGCGAATAGGGGATCCACTATTTGTCCGCCGTCTATTTAAATATCGAGTCATTTCGAAAGTTCCATACAACGTTTCTAAACAGCGACGATCTTTATAGGCTTCTCTCGTTTATGTCATCGCGAATAAGTATAATTCGGTGTTGTCATCGTTCGGTGAAGAATAGACTCTTAAAGTCGAAGATGAACTTTTCAGGGTAATGAGAATTATTGTTGCTCCTAGTCGGAAGCATAATTTAAAGAGACACGTTTGTACATTTCGACTAGCGTTCTGCCACCCCCGTTGAAAAGTACGTTCACGTTGCGTACCAACGGGTGGAAAACATCGGTTACAAGAAGGTCTCGAAGGGAGCCACGAGCATGGGAATGCGAAACAGCAGGGACGACAAAACGGGGGGACAGGTGTGCTCCAAATAGCGCGGAGGCTCTCTCTTCGGGACACGTTTCCTCTTCGGCTTTCCTATTCCTGCTCCGATTCTTCGATCTCTCTTCCCGTTCCCCTCCCTTAGCTTTCCCTTTGCCGAAAATCGAGCACGTCAGGAACCTTGAATGCGCGTTTGATTGTCCTCGACTGGATCTTTCTTGCGATATCCCCCCCTCCTCGTGTGTCTCTCTTTACTAGCTCGCGCGCGTCCGCTCGTCCAACCTTGTTGGCTCGTACTCTACTCGACCAGACACAGACACGGGATCATTTCGAGAGAAACGCCACCGAGCGAAAGGTGGTGGCCGGGGTCAATCCAATATAAATCAGTACCGATTCTCTGGACTAAGCCGGGCCGAAGAAGCGGAGGAAGGACGGCTTTAAGGGACGCGAAGGGCAAGAGAAGGTAAGGTAAGGTACGGTAAGAGAAGGGAGAAGAAGAAGGCTGTTCGCTGCGATGAATAGACTATTTTTAGGGGCCGCTCGTTCGCGGCTACGGCACAGTCCGTATACTCCTTGTGCGTGTGTCTGCGACGTTTTCAAAAGGGATTAGGTACCAAGTGCCTCACCTGCTTCCCCTCCTCTACCTACCTCTCGCCTTCTCAGCTGACGAACATCTTTCGTTTCGAAAAGCTCCAACTTCTTGACAACCGCTTCTTTTTGTCTCTTGAGAACGCGAATTCGTCTACGTCCGCGATCCTAGAAAACTAGGAAGCTAGAAGCTGCACGATTCGCGAACCATACGTTCACGAGAAGTTCGTGATCGTTTTAAGTTAGTAGCTTCGATAGATATACTAGTGTAAATATTTGACTACGAGACGATGACTTTACCACATATTTATCTCCCTCGGTGCTGGGAAATAGAGTTGACTCTATTAAATTCGCGACAAATTTCCGTTAATTGCTGCTTATTACTCGTCTTCGAACCGGGAATAATAATAATTTTTCCAACGATTCGCAGCGTTTTGATCTTTACGTATCTCGATGATTCCCGAATTATTATCCGTTTAATGGTACGGGTAAGACTAAAAATTGATATTGTTCGGGTTAACCGAATATTTGCAAACATCGACGCGAAAGAAATTGTTGAGAAGATTTTTCATTAACGAAGCTAGAGAACTCGAAACTTTCGATCGACGGTAAAAAGGAGAGTACGGACGCGTAGATAAAAGGGGAAGATACACGGGTGGCTCTTCCTTCGATTAATTCCCATCCTTGAGAAGCGTGCCTCGGCAAAGTCGTTAAAAACAACTTTTGCGGCATACATTACGCAGAAAAAGAGAGAAAAAGGGGTTGTCGGGTGTGCTTGCAAGCATGTTAAGGATTTTAACCGTCGCTCTATTTTGTTCCTTCTCCTCGGTCGAAGGACTCTGCTCGATCCTGTCTCGTTCTTCGCGGACAGGAACGTAAGAAGGGTTGCGCGCGAGGGACCAGCAAAATGGATTAAAGCCGAACGAAGAGGAGGGGACCAAAGGACCCCCTTTTATTTGGGACGCGATTCCAAAACGTATCGCGCGATGTTGTCCTCGCGCCTAGTACTTTACGAGTTATAAAAGAGACAGATATGGACTATATGGAAGGAGCAAACGCGAAGGACTGGAACAAGGTACTTACTGTCGTCGTTTGACACTTGTCGAGAAAAAACACTTTCATGGATCGGCAATCGTATTCTTCGAAGCAGAAAACGATCGTGGATACTTCGTGGTCCCTACGGATTCGAGGAACGACAGTTCATTCTCGCCTTAACGACTATATCTCTTTCGGAAACATAGAAGCAGAGGAAACGAAAAGAAACGCGGTAAAACGATCTTTAGAAAAACGTGACATTTCTTCCAAGTATTTGATAGATATCATTCAGAGCGTTTAACGGACATTAGCATCGTCTCCCTTAAAAGACACCGGGCGATATAACGATACGTTTTTAAAGATTACTCGGGTGTTTAAGAGTAGAGAACCAGTCGAGCGACACGGGCGAAACCTTTAAAACGTTTCGTATGTTCGAGGTAACCAGTAGGTACTTGGACTAGAACGGGTAATGGAAAATGGTATGCGTTCTCCTTGCATAATGACCGACGATTCGCATCGCTACGAATAGATTTCGAGTATGCCGGAAAGTCTTTCGGTTATGATTTAACTGTTCGTGCACGCTTTCGATAAAATTCTCCCCTATCTATTCTGCATCGAGCGTCGGTGTAAATTTATCGGAACGGTATCCGCGTTAAAAAAGTTATAAGACAAACATCGTGGTGGCTTAACGTAAATGTCGCTGGGCGGTTCCGATTCGATAATTAGGTAACAGCGATCGATAAATGTTTGGCGTGGTTGCACCACGCCGCGTCGCTCAGAAAAGGGGACTCGTGGTCCACCTGTGATCGTTATCGTTCCATCTAACGATCTCCAGCCGACAAATGGCTACCGTGGAAAAAAGAGTTTCGGGGTCTGCGCGTGTCATGCGCCAGAGGAAGCAAGTGCACGAGGGGTCCCCGGCGATAAAAGTTAAATTGCACCGACGAATGATTTACGTTGACCTCTTTAATGCCATTTAAATCCGTGCACAAGTCGGATACAGGATTTTAATTATCTGGGGTGAAACGCGCGCTCCGTGAAGTTTATACGAGTACGTTCAAGATCGGCGAAGGTCAGTCAAACACGAACGTGACTATACGCGGAAACGAGCGTTGACTCGGTATCGTTCGTGCGAAGTGCTAGATAATTTACACGGTAACAATTTTGAAAAAGTTCAAAGTTCGATAGCGGCTAAAATGGATAGACGGTCTTTGTGTCGTTGATATTGCGCGATACACGATGCTTCGTCTCTTTTACGATCGAAATTTGTGTCAAGAGATTCTTTACAAAACGATTAGTATATCGGTTCGAACGAACGACGCGCGCGAACACGGTGCAACGTTTTAACGTGACAGATCGCGACCAAATTAAACTGTTCGTGACATTACGTATGCGAACGATTATATTTTATCTTGTCTATCGTTAATTTTCGTGTTTCGACTAGTAATCTTCGCGGAAAAAAAAGAAAAAATAAGAAGGAAGCTCGATCGATCGCGATATCATCGGTGCAAACGAGCGCGTTATCGAGGGTTGATCCGTTTCCCACGGTGCGAATCTTTTAACCGAATTTCGGTGATTCCTCTAATCGCGTGAGCCGAATGTCGAGATAGGGTCGCAAAAAATGACTAGAGAATACGTTAAGGGGGAAGGTCGGTGAAATAAACGTAGATAGTAATCGTCTGGTTGACGGTGCTTCGAGGACTCGTGGTTTGCGAGACCAGATGGAGAGCACGCTAGGCGAGTTTCAGCATATGGGCAGGTGTAGTACACGTAACCATTCGGTGGGTCGTAAGCGTACGTGTGCGTGCACGGTGCACAAGAGGTTGACTCGAAAGTACGCGCGTGAAAAAGTGCGCGTTACGAGGCAAGACCGCGTGCACGGCATGGTAACAGCCTGTATGCAAATGAACGCATTTTCGTACCCACTTCACGATGCAACGCACTCGCCCCCTCCGAAGAACCGTTGAAAGCGACCGCCACCGCCGTGGTCGATACTATCGCTATCGTTTACGCCGATATCGACTGTCCGAGAGTACGTATACATATCCCACGCGGGGTAACAATCGCTCGCGAGAGGAACTATCTTCTCGTCCCGTGCACTCGCCGGGCGCAACATTGACCAGTTTTCTTTCGTTTAAAGGTGATTACGGCATAATGCGTAGATAGGGAAAACACGAGATCATCGCCACAGAGTCCTTTTAGTTGGTAGCGAAGTACGCTGAAGTTCCGTTACTCGACTCCCTTAAATCGTTCGTTCTTCGAAAGAGAAAGCCAACGGCGCGAACGAACGCATCGCGATTCGAATCGTGATCACGGAACGAAATTCAATCGTCCTAATCGAATCAACGATTACGTGGACCAACGAATTCACGGTACCGCAGGGTGGAGCGATTTCTTCGCATCACCGATTTCATTCTTCCTTTCGACTATTTTCGCCATATTTTGTTTCTCACGGGGCATAGAAATTTCGTGAACAGTCGTTTAACCGTTCGTCGGGCCAAAGCAAGTGTTAACTCGTGAAACAGACTCAGGTGTACGGGTTTCACCTGTTTCGTTGTTTCCCGTATGCCGTGACAGGTGCGATCCTTTGCTTTCGTCATCGCCTTTCCGCTATTTCCCTCGTCCTCGTCTTTTTCTTTTCCTCCCCTTTTTTGTCAACGCCCTCGACCCGTTACGTAATTAGAAGACGGCGTTTATTTTCGGCAACCCGTACGATCGACGACCGACGACTCCCCATATTCTTTAAAACTTTACGTAATTTAGTACTTTACGTAATGGTAGTTTCCTACAATAATACGTCCAAAAAGGGTCTCTCTCGCGTTTCGACGCCACGCGATTCTCTTCTCCGATCTCCTCGCTTTTTCTGTATTAAGAGTCGTTTTACACGATCGAAAATGCGATGTACACGCGAGCGAACGTTAGCAATTTTCTCGAGGTTCGAAAGCGAATCGATAAAGTTTGTTGGTCGCGAATGCATGTACACCGACAACCAAGAGTTTTCGCTTACTTAGGGAGTTTGCTTTCTGCCTTCACAGAGATGCTGAAGTGGACGGTTTCGAGATCGTTGTCGGCGAGCAGCTCGACGCCCCACGGTCCGCCTAACTTGAACAAGGCGGCTCGCAGGCCTTTTCGAGACTTGTCTAACACGCCTCCCGCTGCTGGCACGAAAACTCGTAACGTACCTGCCCAAACTGCCGAGAACACCTTGGCCAGAACTACGCCGGTTCGTCGTAGAAGATGCAGAAGTCACGGCAGCGATCTTAGAACGTATTTTCAGGTGAACGAAACGTCCCGTAAATCGTGATTCGAAATCGCAACGCGCAAACATCTATTAATTCTAGTCGCTGTCGTCGATAGCGGATAAAGAGAAGAAACTGCGAAGATTACGTAAAAAGTTAATCCTCGAACGGCGAAAGTGGGTCGTTCGTGATCTAAACCCGTGAAACGCTTATCGCCAGAAAAGTTCGGATACGCCAAGTTTTTCGCGCGTTTCTCCTCGCGAAATTTTTTACGGGTCACGATGTCCTAGTTCGTTCGGTCGCGTCGAGTTTAACGGGACAACCCGGAAGTCGGAAAGAACGAAGTTCGAATATCGAAAACGGAGGGTCGGATTACCATTGGCAGCCGTTCTAGGGTTAACTCGGATGGTCGCGGATAGGAACGGGACTGATTGTTTGTTTTCAGGCCACGAAGCCTAATCTGCGGGCAAACAAGCGTCAGTCGATGTCGCAACAGACGGACAAGTCATCCGTCACGGAGAGCTTTTATCAAAGCACGCCGAGGGTCGACGCCGATATCGGCCCATTAACGTTTCTAGCAGCGGGCAGCAAATGTTCCACGGCACTGACTCTGCCAACCGATCCCGCGCTCTTTATGAAGAGCAAAACGACCAACTTTCAGAGCGAGAACGAGCTGCCGCAGAATATCGTGAACGAGGCCAGGGCGAACCTTCAATCGCACGTGTCGGACTTTTTTCAACAAATCTCCATGGCCACCAGCCCGGAGGACGTGATGGAGTCCGATTCCGTTCCGTTATCGAACAACAGACTGTATTCTCGAAACGCCGAGCCGAAGCCGAATTGCGCGAAGATCTCGTATTTGCCGAAACTCGCTAGAATCACTAAAATTCACGCTCGTTGCAAAACACCGTACCACGGAAAGAGCTGTACGACCGCGAGTCCTTTCAAAGCCCACGGTCACGATCAGACGCCTTTGGCCGGTAAACTGTCGAATCTGGCCATCGACCAAGATCTACCCAAGTTCGAGAACATGGACAACACGGTGACGGAAGTGCTCAATAGGTAAAAACGAATCGCTGTTTATTTCGCCGTAGTAATCACGAAAATCGTTGACAAAATGTTCGTCCTCGTAAACGTCTGGTCTTTGTTTAGAGAACAAGAGGTGAATTTCAGCGGGAGAACGGTGGCCGAAATTCTACTGGGAGACGCGGAGGAACGAAAGAAGGTGTTGAAAGGTAATCGGGAGGAGCAGCAAAGCGATTCTCGAATGGATCGCGCGTACGAGACGATCGTGGAACGAGAAGAGAACGTCGAAGAGGAAGAGGAGGAAACGACGCTAGCTCACAACGACAGCTCCATCTCCTCTGCTAGTCAGTTACTGGAGGATCCGTCTCCGATGTCCTGGGCATTCTCCTCTCCTACGAACGATCTGGACGGGGAATTCACGTTGAAGAGGCAACGAGGAATACGAAGGAAACGGCACAGGAAGGACACGGAAAAGATTTACGACGGGAAGCGAGCAAAGCGACGCTCGTCGAGCCACAGTCCGTCCACTAGCGCAACGTTCGAGAAACGGCGCGACGTATTGGTCGAGGCCGTGAATCCGAACGTGAAGAAACTTGCCTTGGAGACCGATCTGGACTCCGTTTCGGAGGAAAAACCCGCGTTCGCGGCGAAAGCGTTACTCTCGACTCTCGAGGATCGTAAGGACGAGGACATCGGCAGAAAGAACGGTACCTGGGAGTCGGACAGTCCGAAATCGAGCCTCACCGACGACTTTCAAAGTTTGAAATCGTTTTTAAACTCGATGTCCAATACACCGGAAACGCCGTTGGTCGCGACTGTACGTCGATGTCTCAAGTTCAGCCCGGAAGGCGATCTTCCGAGACCGAACTGTCATGGATCGATCGAGATCGAATACTCCGTCGTCGGTGAACACATACACGTTCGAGGTAAGCGTAAAATTTCGACTTTTAGTAGCCACTTTCAGTAGTAAGATCGAACGCGACAAAGCGCTCGTCTCCTTTCGTAATCCGCAACTGCACGGAAACAAAAATAGCGTCTACGTACTTTTTAAGAAATTGATCGTTACGAGGTCGTTGGCGAATAAAATAATTTGGAAAAGACGATACGCTAATGATCATGCGCGAGGAATAAAAAAATTGGACGCATTACGCACCGTAGTACGGTAGAAATATTTTTGTAGCAGAGCAGCCGAAAGGTTAAAAGAGAAAGTCGCGGGTAATTTAAGTACAGCGGCGAGGGGTTTCGCGATTCCAACACGTCCCTGACAAGCGATCGCGAAAGGGCATGCGCCAGTTACGTGCCACGAGAGGGGGTGTTTCAGTTGGCACCCCGCGATAGACGACTGTGCCAGTAACCCACAGACCCTCCTGGCATTTCGCTCCCGGTTAGTAGGCCTACCAACATTGATTCTCGCTGCTACACGCATCTTTGCGTAAACAATCCACGTCGAATCCTGCGAACTTTTCTCCTCTTTCGACAACGACGAACGCACGGTGGACTCCGGTCGACGAGTTTTCCTTTCATCGTTATCGTTCCTTCTCGGAACGCGCGTTCATCGTCCGTTCGGTTCATTCCGATCGTGTTCCTTATCGCGACGCGACGCAGGGCGAGACGCGTCGAAGAGGAAGAGGAGGAAACGACGCTAGCTCACAACGACAGCTCCATCTCCTCTGCTAGTCAGTTACTGGAGGATCCGTCTCCGATGTCCTGGGCATTCTCCTCTCCTACGAACGATCTGGACGGGGAATTCACGTTGAAGAGGCAACGAGGAATACGAAGGAAACGGCACAGGAAGGACACGGAAAAGATTTACGACGGGAAGCGAGCAAAGCGACGCTCGTCGAGCCACAGTCCGTCCACTAGCGCAACGTTCGAGAAACGGCGCGACGTATTGGTCGAGGCCGTGAATCCGAACGTGAAGAAACTTGCCTTGGAGACCGATCTGGACTCCGTTTCGGAGGAAAAACCCGCGTTCGCGGCGAAAGCGTTACTCTCGACTCTCGAGGATCGTAAGGACGAGGACATCGGCAGAAAGAACGGTACCTGGGAGTCGGACAGTCCGAAATCGAGCCTCACCGACGACTTTCAAAGTTTGAAATCGTTTTTAAACTCGATGTCCAATACACCGGAAACGCCGTTGGTCGCGACTGTACGTCGATGTCTCAAGTTCAGCCCGGAAGGCGATCTTCCGAGACCGAACTGTCATGGATCGATCGAGATCGAATACTCCGTCGTCGGTGAACACATACACGTTCGAGGTAAGCGTAAAATTTCGACTTTTAGTAGCCACTTTCAGTAGTAAGATCGAACGCGACAAAGCGCTCGTCTCCTTTCGTAATCCGCAACTGCACGGAAACAAAAATAGCGTCTACGTACTTTTTAAGAAATTGATCGTTACGAGGTCGTTGGCGAATAAAATAATTTGGAAAAGACGATACGCTAATGATCATGCGCGAGGAATAAAAAAATTGGACGCATTACGCACCGTAGTACGGTAGAAATATTTTTGTAGCAGAGCAGCCGAAAGGTTAAAAGAGAAAGTCGCGGGTAATTTAAGTACAGCGGCGAGGGGTTTCGCGATTCCAACACGTCCCTGACAAGCGATCGCGAAAGGGCATGCGCCAGTTACGTGCCACGAGAGGGGGTGTTTCAGTTGGCACCCCGCGATAGACGACTGTGCCAGTAACCCACAGACCCTCCTGGCATTTCGCTCCCGGTTAGTAGGCCTACCAACATTGATTCTCGCTGCTACACGCATCTTTGCGTAAACAATCCACGTCGAATCCTGCGAACTTTTCTCCTCTTTCGACAACGACGAACGCACGGTGGACTCCGGTCGACGAGTTTTCCTTTCATCGTTATCGTTCCTTCTCGGAACGCGCGTTCATCGTCCGTTCGGTTCATTCCGATCGTGTTCCTTATCGCGACGCGACGCAGGGCGAGACGTCGCGACGCGAACCGGAACGAAAGGAAGAAACGTTCGGATTCGGCAGTCGATCGCGTTGCAGCGAGTAGAAGAGTGCCGCATTGGTCGGACGGTCCGCGGTGCGCGTAGTGCGTGCGACGTATTGGTCAGACAGAGCGGAAGAAGAGCTTATTCGAAGCTCGATTCATCTTTTTTCGCGCGTGTGCCTCGATCAGCCTTTCGAGTTTATCCAGCATCGATCGAAGAGAAACTCGATCTCGTTGTCGAGCGTATCGCGAATGGTTGTTCGCGATGGATCGCGAAAAGGTTCGGTTTGTCACGATGCGTTCTCGTTTCTGTTTGTCACAGTGATAAGGTGCAAGGATCTGAGGAGAGCGTACGAGGGTCCTATTCACGCGTACGTGAAAGCGAGTCTGAAGAACGCGAACGGCGAGGGAGTGGTGAAGAGGACGGCGGTGCACAGGGCCACGCCGAATCCCGTCTTCCACGAGACCTTGATACTGCCCTGCCCGGTGAACAACAACCACTGCAGCAGCAAGCCCACGTCCCTGGACATCGCTGTCTGGCACAGGGATCGTCGCGCAAGGTGAGCATGCTCGAAAAAAGGAAGTACGCGTGGAAGAGGGGTACCGCGCTCGTGACGCTTAACAATAAAGTTCGCCGATCAGATAGCAGGATTCCGTTGTCATTGGAAACGCGCTTTCAATTACCTGAACGTTGCCTTGACTCGTTTTCTCGATGTTACCGCAACTACCGTGTCGTTCGAGTCGCGATAACGAGTTTCGGAACGATAAGCGGTTAACGATGCTCGGTGCCGCTTCGTACACGCCGCGAGATATTAATCTCACGCAAGAGTTAGGTTTACGTGCACCGTTGGAATGTTTCGGAACGTTTGCGACGTAGGCGGCAGCCATTTCGATCTCGACGACTCGGCGAAACAGACTCTTTCGCGATAAAAATCTCTAGAAATATTCGACGGTTAGTCTCGTCGCCTTTCGAATCCTGGTCCAAAACGGCACGACGCGACCTTTAGCTCTATACCGACAATAAGCGTCAGCGAGTTCTTCGGTGCTCGTCGCTGGTTTATCGAGAAGCCCCGACCACTTACGAAAAACTAACCAATTAAAATGTTCGTTGTAAACGTTTATCAGAGTCGGTAGATAACCGTACAAGAAGAGTGGAGGTATCGCTTTTTAAAACGTTGAAAAAAATCGCTCTTTCTTGGTCGTTGATAAACGAGCCTTTCTTCTCCCGTTACTTTCTTACGATCTGCGCGGAAGATGTCCTTCTTTGCTCGCCGAAGAAATTGATCGGTTCTATCCTCGCAAGACTAAACGTTCGTACGAACGAACGAATACTGGGCGAGCCGAAACGTTCTTCCTCCCTTCGCGGACGGTTTATGTATTAGTCGAAAGTTAAAACCGATTTCGAGTTTTTACGATCAAAGTAGTCCCGTAAACTTTCGAACAACAGCTAGAGTTACATGTTTGTTCCCCTTTTATCGAAGCAGAGAAGGAAACTTTTCGACTCTCTGCAGCGGAGAGAGATAAAACGGTAAAACGGACGAGACGATTAACATCGATGAGATTTCGCTATAAAAGAACGCGTGGCAGTAGGCGCTGTCTCCGAGGAGAAGATATCGGGGTCAAGAACTACGGCTAGGTCTCGTTAATCCGAGAGTTACGAGTCAGACAGCCACCCACCCCCGTTCCCAATATTCTCCGAGAGTCTTTGCAACTTTCGTACACGTGACTTTCGAAAGTTACAGTCTCGCGATGAACGAAAGAAAAAAGGAGAAAAACAAAAGGGATCGGTTTGCGCGCGACAGGGTTTCGTTGCAAAGCGAGCACGATAACGCCAGACAATCCCCTTCCCGTTTCCGATATTCCCGTCGAACCTTTCGCGTTTAGCGGACGAGATTCGAAACGATTCGTTACGAGCAGACTCGAAGCTTTCCGGTTGACGGAAAACGAAAGCGACTGCAGGCGACAGTCGCGAGTGTAAAGGACAAACGCGACAACGAAACCAGTCGATAAAACGAACCGTCTCGAGTCGGGATAATTTCGCGTGGGTTAGGACGCGACGGTCCATCGGAACAGCGAAACGAATTTCTGGGTATAACGCGGATTTCTTGCGGTAGAAGGGGAATCGATTCCCTGGAAGCATGCGCATCGAGCACGCCACGTGCACTTGGTCACATCCGCGCGTCTCTGCAACCACGCCGACGTTCACGATTTTCCTTTCTACCTTTTCGTCTAAGTACCGCCTTCGAACAGACAACGATATTCGGTCTACTAGCTATTCGTTAGCTGTTCGTTGAACGTCGGCCGTCGGCTGCAATTACGATAAAAAAACTGGCCATTTACGATAATCGGCATAACCGTAGAACGAGAAGCTCGTAACGTTATCGGGACGCCGTAAATGTTGCGATAACATCGGCGGATCAAACGTTGCAGCGAAAATTCTCTCTGATTTATTCGGCGTTATTCTTTCGAATTAATTTAAGCGCGTACAGAAGGAGTAGGAGTATGCCCGTAAAGTTTCCGAGCGACCTGTTTCGTATCGCCGATCGAAAAGCTGTTATTTCGGTGATAAAAACGACTAGTAATGTAGAGTAAACAGAAAAATATGTCGTTCGAGACTGCTTGTATACGAGGAACGATCGAACACCGATTCGCAAACATCGTTACGTTTGATCGATCGATTGTCGGTGCTCGCGAGGATCTTATCGGCCGATACACGCGTGTATCCGCATTTTCTTCCCAAACAGATTTTTGTATATACATTTTCGCTTCTTTTTCTGTTTCAGACGTAGCGAATTGCTGGGCTGTATGACGTTGCCTCTACCCCTGTCTCAGGATAAGGTAAATATTTTAACCGTTTCGAAAGTGATGAAAAATCGGACGAAACAAGCTTCTTAATAGAACTTGATAGATCATTGCGTCGAGTTAATTTAAACTTTATCGTTCGTCTTCGAGGAATTTCGGAGAAGACAACACGGATCGATCTCGTTTTATCGATCGATGCTCATCGATGCGGTTGAATTTTCGCAACGAGGAAGTTTGATGCGCGATAACCGTCCGTCAGCTATTTACCAGGACTCGTAGGTCTTCTCGGCTTAAGGTCAGGGTTAAGCTCGTTACGAAGGTACCCGGTGGAACATCGTCCGACAAACGTTCACTCGTGCTTGAATCTGTTTGAAAAGCGGCAGGTGTTTCGGAAATATCTCGACAATTTGATCGAAATCGTTTGTTCGCGTTGTTCCGTCATCCCTGGAAACGATCATGATCGTGGTGGCTATTTATTGTGCCGTGTTTTTCGTGGTTGGCGTCATGTTGAAAATCTTCGTCTTCTGTTGAAACGACCAAGATCGTGCCTCGTTTGATCGGCGCGGCGGTTCGGTAATCGGACGTTGGAAATAACCATTGAATGGAACAAACATGGCTTTCTTTCGAGATCAAGTTCCTCGCGCTAAATATTGTAGAAAATTGTACGAAATCTATTAACGTCGTCAAGGCGTTTTCGTTTCGCGATCAGTGGCGAAACGAGATTATTCGTTTTCAGGTAAATCAAGGGATTTAAACGAAGGAAAAACGAACGATTCGATTAATCGGGCGGTCGCGAATTTTCAGGAAGCAACATGGCACCCTCTCGAAGCAGGAACCGGTCGAAACGCGAGCGCTCCTTATGCAGGCTTGCCTCAAGACTGCGGAGTGTCGCCACCCTTGTGCAAGGACGGCGAATCAGATAATAATAATTCAGGAGCGGAGGACTTGACGTATCTGAGGCATCTCGAATTGGAGCCTATCGATCCCTTGACCGGCTTGCCTCTGCATCCTGGTTTCACAGCCAGGGGTGGTAGGACACCGTGCACCGTCACCAGGAGATTGATAAGACAGACCGCGGCCAATCAGGTAAGCCTTGATCTCGATCGATCGAGTTTAATCGTGCATCGACTCGATTCGCGCATAAGGACGATCGTCTTCTGCCGTAGGTTCCATGGGGTTTCTCGTTATCTTGGGGCAGACCACCTCGCGTGGAACGCGTGGATCCTGCCAGCCCGGCGGAACGATCCGGTCTCAGGCCAGGTGATCACGTCGTCTTCGTCGACACGACGAACGTCGTGACACGGTCGAGGGAAGAGATCCTCGGACTGATTCAAGCCGCCACGAATCAGCTGATCCTCGAGATTTATCGCAAGGGGAACGTTCACGCGTCGATGCATCGGCCTAACTCGATGAACGTTAGCCTGCCTTCTCGGCTTAAGGTCAGGGTTAAGCTCGTTACGAAGGTACCCGGTGGAACATCGTCCGACAAACGTTCACTCGTGCTTGAATCTGTTTGAAAAGCGGCAGGTGTTTCGGAAATATCTCGACAATTTGATCGAAATCGTTTGTTCGCGTTGTTCCGTCATCCCTGGAAACGATCATGATCGTGGTGGCTATTTATTGTGCCGTGTTTTTCGTGGTTGGCGTCATGTTGAAAATCTTCGTCTTCTGTTGAAACGACCAAGATCGTGCCTCGTTTGATCGGCGCGGCGGTTCGGTAATCGGACGTTGGAAATAACCATTGAATGGAACAAACATGGCTTTCTTTCGAGATCAAGTTCCTCGCGCTAAATATTGTAGAAAATTGTACGAAATCTATTAACGTCGTCAAGGCGTTTTCGTTTCGCGATCAGTGGCGAAACGAGATTATTCGTTTTCAGGTAAATCAAGGGATTTAAACGAAGGAAAAACGAACGATTCGATTAATCGGGCGGTCGCGAATTTTCAGGAAGCAACATGGCACCCTCTCGAAGCAGGAACCGGTCGAAACGCGAGCGCTCCTTATGCAGGCTTGCCTCAAGACTGCGGAGTGTCGCCACCCTTGTGCAAGGACGGCGAATCAGATAATAATAATTCAGGAGCGGAGGACTTGACGTATCTGAGGCATCTCGAATTGGAGCCTATCGATCCCTTGACCGGCTTGCCTCTGCATCCTGGTTTCACAGCCAGGGGTGGTAGGACACCGTGCACCGTCACCAGGAGATTGATAAGACAGACCGCGGCCAATCAGGTAAGCCTTGATCTCGATCGATCGAGTTTAATCGTGCATCGACTCGATTCGCGCATAAGGACGATCGTCTTCTGCCGTAGGTTCCATGGGGTTTCTCGTTATCTTGGGGCAGACCACCTCGCGTGGAACGCGTGGATCCTGCCAGCCCGGCGGAACGATCCGGTCTCAGGCCAGGTGATCACGTCGTCTTCGTCGACACGACGAACGTCGTGACACGGTCGAGGGAAGAGATCCTCGGACTGATTCAAGCCGCCACGAATCAGCTGATCCTCGAGATTTATCGCAAGGGGAACGTTCACGCGTCGATGCATCGGCCTAACTCGATGAACGTTAGCCTGCACCAACCGATCGGCGGCGGGCAGCACGCGGTCGCGTTTAACGCCGAGGTCGGTACTGGCGTCTTGGTTTAAGCTTCGCGAAACGCTTTGAAATTTTGCTGGTACGCGATTTACGAAATTGCTCGCGATCAAGAACGAAACGGCCTGATTGTTTCGAGTTCCGCTTCACCCGTTTTTTCTTTCTTAGCGTCGTCGTTCTCTTCTGATCGAACGAGTTTCGTATTTCGCGAATCGAACAGTTGTCCGGTATCAACGAGACTTTTTTCTCCAAATCTTGTTCGACGAATACGACGACTTACCGCGTTTTCCAAATATGGATTCCAAATATGATTTGTTACTGTTTCTCGAATGTTTGCATTACGAGAATGCTACAGGATTCACGGAACCTCGAATTATTCAGTACCTACCGTAGGATTCTCCAAGTGGAAAACGACGCGCGTTATTATAGAGTCTCGTTTATACCGAGACGTATTGTGGTTTTCGTTCGAAACGGCAAGCGAAAACGATCTTGCGTTCTCCCCGTTCGAAACATCCGAGATTTTTTCAAGTCGTGAATCGCGACGCGCTGCATGCGTTCTCAAGAGCTTATTTTATTTTTCATCGCACGGCATGTCGCGCAACATTCCTGTAAATTCCTTTCGCTCGATTGTCTAGCGAACCTATTGTAAACGCGTAGTGTATAGCGCGTGTCCCCCTTTTTTCCTCGGCGGACACGATTAAGTTATGATACGGTTATTATGTTTTGTAATCTGAACGGTTGTCTTTTTTTCTGTTGCTCAACAAGTTTTGTTTCAAAGCATTTGTCGTATTCTGTTCATTTACTCCAGTCCCTTTCACCGGTTCCTCGTTCCTTGACCTTTATCCGATCGTCGCAACGCTCCGAGAGACGATTCGCTCGGCGAGAGCGATTCGCGCGTTTACGCAACGTCGCTGCACGATTTTGTTTTCGGTAAAAAAAACCCTTTCGTAATGGCGTAAACGAGTAGAGAGACGATAGCAATTTGCTCGTAAAAGTAAAATCCAAATAAGAAGTCAAGGGTAATTCACTGGCGTGTCGCGAGAACGCGAATCCTTGCATGCATCGTCAACTCGAAGCGGCACGACTTTTCTCGAGTAAAAACGCGTTCAGGTGTTTCCGAACCTCGCGCCGGACGCGCCGCCGGAAGAGGAACTGTCGGTGCGCGAGACACGATATTGGGGCATCCTGAAGAGCGGACACGCTCGTTTCATGGCGCCATTGGCTGAGAGACGGGACGTCCTTAGCGCCGCGGATTACCTGATACTCTTCCAAAACCTCGACGAGCTGCTGAAACTTTCCGAAGAGATTCGCGACGAGGGTGGCGGGGTGGAGAGCTATCTGTGTCGGGTAGCCAGGATCACCGCGGCCTACAGGAGATACCTGAGCGGATTGCAACGCGCTTGTTGTCTGTTGGTCGCTCTCAGACGAAATACCGCTTTCGCGAAGCTGGTCTGCGAGCCAGCCGTTCCTCACAAAAGACGTCCCGATCTGACGGGCGTTTTGCTCTTGCCTCTAGAACACTACAGGTGCGTCATTCGCGTAACTCGAAATACGATCTCGCGTAATCCCTGCCTCTGAACCGTTGAAAAAATCGTAGAGAGATGACGAGACTGTTAGGACTGGCGTCGCCAAGGAACTGCCAGCAAGCCAGAGATCTAGCCCAGGGTTACAGAGAAGCGACGGCCAACGCCGGCGTGATGGAACCTCCTCGAGATACCGGAAGGCCTCTGCTCAGCTTGCAAGAGGTCGAATCGCGACTCGTTTTCGCGAGGTGCAAACCGTTCACTCTGGCTATGCCCGGCAGACAATGGTGCGTATTCGGACGTTTCGAAACGACGCGACGGCCATCGAGCGAGAGTAACGCTCGACGTTTCAGGCTGTTCGGGGGCGCGCTCGCCAAGGTGGAAGGACGCGCGCGTCTGCAACCATCTTGGGCCCTGTTGCTCACCGATCTTCTGGTGTTTGCCCGCGTTTCGAGGGATCGCGTTCTGTTCGTGACCGAGGAGCCTCTGCGTCTGTCGAACATCGCCGAGGCTTGTTTCACCGTTCGCAAACGACCGACGGAATTTCGGCTACAGGTCGCGATTAATCCGCCAGGGAACTCGGAGAACGGTCACCTCGAGGTGACCAACAGCGGCGGCTGCAGCCCTCACAGTCGTCCTCGAAGACGGGTTCTTGTCTTGCGAGCTCCTACTCCGGAATTGAAGGCTGTTTGGCACAATCTGCTACAACGGCAGATGTGAGTGGTCCGATCGTCGACGCGAGTTCCCCGGAGTTTCGTCCTCGTCCGAAAGTTCGCGAATTCGAATCTCGACGAGGCTCCGGCGAGAGTTCCGAACCTCCGCTACACTTTCCTTTGTCTGCACTAATTCGTTATTATTTTAGAATCTATGTGAATACAGGCTATGGGGGAACACCGAGCCAAGACAGTCCAGAAGAGAGTCCTGTCGCCGGCAGTAATTTTACCGCGGCTAGAGAACCGACGGAAAGTTCTCAGGTGAGTGTCGAGAACAGTTTCGCTGAATGGGCAAAGAGGACGAGCGCGTTTAATTGACGCGCGTTCGTAGACCACCAGGGAATCCCGAAAACCGGACGAGGAGAAGGAGTCCCGTTCGACGGACAGCATCGACACGATCATCAAGAATTCGAGAGAGAACAATCATCTGGCGCAATGGGTGCGTAACTCTCATCAAATCCCTCCACCGGATCCCGAGGAGACTCCCATCGAGGAATGGACGGTCGAAGAATTGGCGGCGCGAGCTCCCAGAGAAAGCGGCAACGAATCGAGCACGGTGCCACCGGAAGAGAACACGCAAGCGGAAGAGGTGGTCGTCGAAGTAGTGAATTCGGATGCGGAACAGCAAAGCACCGCTTCCAGCGCGAGCCTCAGCACCGTCAAGTCCAATAGCGTGACGACCAAGAAGAACGGTAGCTACGCGTCTTCCAGAGAAAATTCGACCGGTTCGATCAACATTTGTAGGAGGTGCCACAGGTAACGCGCGAGTATCTCCGCTTACGGTTAAACCGCGTAAACGATTACTAATTTCGATAGGTTCGTACCGACTTGTTTCATCTGCTCGAGCCCATTAACGCGCTGTAGCAATCCGCTCTCGATCTTTACGGACATCCTGTATGTTTGGATGGATAGTTAGACGAGGATCAATCCGGTGGCGAACGCCGAGTACCGGCACGATACGACCGATCGAACGGTACGAGAAGTTCCGTGCGATTAAAACGGTTGGTCTCGATTGCAGATCAGGTTGCCCTACGCCACCTTTAACCAGAGATCCGTTCTCTCCGTTGCCTCCAAAGATTTCGGTGGTGCCGCCTACGCCCGACTTGTGCACCAGGCACAGACTGAGAAACGGACTACACGACAGCCCCGGGAGAAACAGTCCAGGTTATACTCCGGCCGATGGAAACACGGAGGATGGTAGCGAGGACGACCTCGACTGCGACGGCGAGCCGCCTTACAGGTGAAACCGAACTCGCGGGTTCCGCGAGGAACGAATGCTGGAATCCTGGTTCGTTCCGTGGGCAATCGTTCGATCGTTTTTGCAGAGCTCTCAGAAGATTCGGCACGATGAGCAGTTTAGATCAGGACGACGAGCTCGAGGATCAAGGGGACGACGACAATCGAGACACCGAGTCGCCGCCCACGGGTTTAAGAGCCTGGACGGCTAGAGCGAGCAGTTACGTGGTCAGTAAAATGGCTCTGCTCGAACAACTCGGAGAAGGAGTAGGAGGATATCTTCTTCAACCGCCCGTGCCTCCGGAGAGAACAGAATTCTCCTTGGACCCGAACGACGAAGAGGGCACGACGTCTGGAGCGACCTCGGGCGACGACATCTGGGGAACTCCGACTTCCGGTGGTCCCGACGACGAAAGTTTCACCGCTAGTTCGGTAATGAGACGCGACTTATCCGCGTACTGTCGTTGGCTCGATCGATCCACCGTAAGCCTCTCTCTATCGCATCTATCGGAACTATTCTCTCTAGTATCTTTGACATTTTTCTTTCCGTCTACACGGAATATTACACGGTCATACGCTGTTGATGCCATGCACGATCGATCGATTCGACTTTAACGAAAGATGCGCCGGAAATGTTGGAAAATCGCTTTGACGCGGTACCGTTCTTCTTCCTTCGATAGCTTCGACGGCTTGTCACGTTCGCGAAAGTGCTTGCTCGTACACGATCCTCCCACCGCGATTCGCGATCAAATTTTCTACCATATAAAATTCGTCCAATTAGCTCGCCGCAAACGACGAAACGTCTTTTAATCGAAACCTTCTGACCGAAAGAACAAGAAAAACAGAGACGATCGGTCTAGAAGACAAGTTAGCTGATAAGCTTCGCACGCATCTGCATGAGACAATGCTTGCCCTTTGTTTGCAAAGAATCACTAGCCCGAGCTGTGCCTGACTTCCCTAGCCGCCGCCAAACGGTGCAGGCAACGCGGTCGCATCCGGCGAGGACAATTATGGCCTGAACCTGTCGGCGGAGGATGACGCGGACCAAGAGTCCGAGAACGAAGACTGCAATTTACCGGAACTGAACATGGATCAGTTACTCGGCGGCGGAAGTCTAAGTTCGCTGAGATGCTTCCTCGGCAGACGGCGACTAGAACCGCTCCCGGAGGAGGAAGATTCGTCCGGAAGCGGAAAGGATCAAGTCGGATGGTGGTGACAACGGTTGCAAACGACGACGTCGAAGAACGTCGGCTCGAGCTCCGACGCGACCGACAGGGATCGCATCTTTGCCAAGCTGAGTCAGGAGGACGAAGAGTTTCGCAGAAAAATAGTGAATCTTCACAGAAAATTGTCGGACGTGGAAGACGGTTACGCGACCGAGACAGCCTCGTCGGACACGTTGAAGAGTTCGAAGGAGGCGGAACGTCTGAGGGAACTGGAATCGGTGGTAAGAAGAGCGGAGGAAACCAGCAGCAGAAACGCGGAACGAATCGGAGCGGAGAGAGCCGAGAGAGCCAGGCGAGAGGAGTATTCGTCGACGGAAACCGTCGGAGATCCGAGATCTCGTAGACACAAAAGAGTCGACGCTCAACACGAAAGAAGGAAACGGATCGAACTGTTTCAACGTAAAGCGAAGAGACTGGAAGAGGACTCGGACGATCAAAACGACGATAGCCCCTCCAAGACGACGGAGAAGAATTTTTTGAATCGGTTAAGAATAAAAAGACGCAGCATGAAGCTGCTCAGTTTTTTAAGCGGCAAAGCCGCGGACAGATCGCAAGAGGAACGCGCCGCGAGACTTCTGCGAATGTACATGCCCGAGAAAGGATCGAAAGCGCAAAACACCATTTCTATACATCACACGTCACGAGACAGACGATTTTGGAAACTTCGGAGCAGGAGGCGAACCAATTCTTCGTAAACGAGGGAAGACGCGACGGATTAATTAAAACTTTGTTATCTAGAATTTCCAGTATTCGCGTTATTCGAGCCTTTTTTCGATTCTACTTAAGCATGTACGAGCTCGGGTTTCTTTTCATAGGATCTAGCGTAACGATACGAGATTAGGATCACGATTTCGAATATCGAGTCTCGAAATTAGACTATCTTTTCGTCCCGTAAACGATTCTCGAAGTAAATTCAGTACGTACGTTTGTCGGGTACGGTTAGCCGATTAAACGAGTTCCGGAACGGGACAACCCAGCGTTAATGTCGTAGCGTGCTTGTCGGTTATTAACGAAATTGGTCCAGTTTCCGAATGATACGATACACGGCCTAGCGTGAAACGTCTCTCAGACATAGGATTAAGATGTTTCGTTTGCCGCGTAAGACTGTTCGCCGGTCTAGTCTCGCTCATACGAATTTAGACAAAGTTCGTTTCGTTTCGTTTCTCTCGGACACCGTATTTAAGTAGGTCCGCACGACTGACCCAAAGCGGCACTCATCTTTCACGATGATAGATCAGCTCGAATATACAATACGAAAAGTTGTAAAAAAAAATCCACTGGAATTTTAACATTACTGTTGGTAGGTTGTAACATAACCGTATGGCTGTAATCGGCATACGAATAAAGTATATTATTTGTTCAAACATCGTTTTTCCACTTTCCTCACAACCAAACCCGACAACTTCCGACGTAATCGACAAAACTATACAGCTCTAATTTATTTATTAACTTACAAAAGATACCCTTTAAGCCATAAAAGTCTAAGTTTTTCCATTATATCCTTGTATTGCAACTTCTTTGGACAATTTCGGAATTGCTTAGAAGCCTCGTAGCGAGCAGGATCGATCTTTCCGGTATGATAAAACTTTCCGTTCTCGTGTACGTATATACTGGTGAGGTCGTCCACGGTTGGCAGCTTTTCCGGTAATTGCACAGGAACGATTTTCACTAAATGTTTTACTCTCCAAAGTACCGCGCACATTTCTGGAGTATTCTTTACGAACACTGGTTCCTTTTTCTGCGAGAAACGATTTTTACATAAAATAAATAACCAGCGAAAAGTTGAAAATCGCGTTAAACTCGGTATCTTACATCTTCTTCGAATCCTAATTCCGCGAGAATATCTTTCTCCCAATAAGGATTTCCCTTGAAAGGTTTTACTCTGTGAACCATCAAGACTTTGGACGGTACGATCGGAGGGTCCACATGATTCGGATGCCTGAAATACCGACCAACGTTCCGTGTATGGGCAACTTAACCTCGAAAATTACAACAATAGTTTTTCCGTTCTTACCGTGGATGATATTTTACTTTTTCGTATCTAACAGCGTCTTTCAGCCAATGTTTCGAATATTGCCGATAGCCGCGTACAAACGTTAACGTAACATTCGTACAATTTGCCATTTCCTAAAAATTACCAAAAACCAACGTTAACCTAAATTAGGTTAGGCAATTAGGAAAATAAAAATTACCAATAACATTCGTGTCGTCGCGGTATGCGAACTATCAATAGGAAATTGCTTACGTTTATTATTGAAACTTTTCGATTATCGATGCGAAGTAATCGTGATTTCTTTAGTTTTCACTCTTTTCTTTATTTATTTCTCGGTCATGTTTGGTAATTCACGAAATCGAGCACAACGTCATCTGACGGGTACAGACTAAAACTAAACGCGAGTGGCGCTCAAAGCAGAATGGTAAGACGGATTTGTTCGAAAGCGCTTCCAAAAAGATCAATAAATTTTATTTACGTTGTATTCCAATATTAATCAGAATATCACTCTCCGTTGTAAACGAGCGCAACGGTATTTTCACAAAATACCGTTACGACGAGAGCGTAACGATCCTGTTACGAGTTTACGCGATACAATATAATATTTCTAATAAGAAAAATTTTCAAAAGTAAAATAGCGACGTGAAACGGCAAATAAGAAATAGACAAAATCTTTCATTGAATCTCGTATAAATTTTGTCACGAATTTTAAGAGAAAGAAAAATGGTGTCGAAGAATTTCATTTCCGACGAAACGTTGCAAACTCGTCCCAAGGTATTCGCAGATACGAGAGCGCGGTATTTGAAAATTGTTGGCAGAATCGAGATGCCTGAGAGTATGCAGTTGCTAGGAATGCGCGTTGCATTTCAACGTAATCTCCAAACATGGAGGGTCTGTCCAGTTCGAGACAGGCGGGTTAAGAACGGAAGGAAATTTGAATACGCGATGTCGACGAGCTTAAGGCCTTGATCACACCTTGATCACCGGTGAAATATTTTTATCGATAATACATTTGCAAAGCTCGACGAGAGAAAAATATTTCCAGCATCGCTTTCTTAGACACGTTTAATTGACACGTTACTTATTAAAGTTACACGTATAAAAGGGAATACATTTATCATAGCTTATCGTAGATTATTTTTTTCGTACAACGAAATTCAACGAAGACGTCTTATGTTCCAAACTCGAGTAACTCAGCTACGTACATATGTTCGATATCTTTAGTATATCGCGTTTTCCATCGCGAGGATTTTCGCTGGAAACGAACTCTCGCAGAAACGATATCCGTGTTATGGTTGAGAATAGTGGAACTCGAAAGAAACGGAAAAAAGGGAAGAAAAGCGGTCGACGGCGAACTGTAAGAAAAATGTTCGCGTCTCCGTTCGTGTTCCACGAGAAGCTTACACGATTTTCACGGATAAAAATTGCCCTCTACGTCGTTTCAAATTTTCCCTTTCTCGGAATCGTGCCGGTATCGTTTCGTCAACTACGGTATCTCCTGGCATTTTCTTTTACCTCCGACTTGGTACGTAGCAAGAGCCTTCGTTCGCTGTTATTAACTATACGCGTACGGTCTTTTCCGACATAACGACTCAAAGTATCGATAATACCGGTGCCACGCGTTGCAACGTATAATCATCGAAACGAGAAACGAGGCATGCCAGTGCTTATTTGTCATAATTAATCATAATTAAGCGATTGCATTGTCTCTGTTAGAATTACCGAGTACTATCTAGTACGCTCGTATTTTTATTCGAAATAATCGATTTTTTTTTTAAATCGCGCATATATGTATACCTTTACTCGTATCTTTTCATACGCTGACGCAACAAGAACCGTTATGTCGCGTACACGCAATCGTAAACGTTTCGTGTTTCTTCGAAATTGACGTACTACGTGCCTATAAAATTACATCGCATAATTTTGAAAGATTGCCTCGGAACGTTGCGAGGGGTGACACAGCCAAAGGTACGCATAACGGTCGCTGTTCAAGATGGAACTCGAATTTCCATTGTATAAGTGGCGAGTGTAATTGAATCATAGCTAATGGACCTTGAGCGCATCCTCTCGTTGGTAATCTCGTTTCGGTGTCTATTGTGGCGTGTATCGTACAGCTATAGATTGACGCGCATACTATCTCGCCGCGTCGCGACGCGTCGCATCGGTTCGATGCGCTTGCCTCGACGACTTATAAAACTAATTGACCAGGTATCGAGTCGCAACTTGCAATTAACGATGTGCGTCAAACTGTTCAGCGGCAGTCTGATACGATAGCATTTCTTTAGCGCTTACGTTACCACGATAACGTTGCGCCGATATAGTAATAGCCTAGTGTTTTTTGCACTAGACAGAAATCATAGACGTTGTATGCACGTTTCATCGCGGCCAACCTTGTTACCGGTATTGGAAACGCGAATGAATTTTGAAAGAATAGCGTTGAAAGGAAAGCTTAAACAATGAGGAGCCGTTGAAAGAATTTCGTAGAATAGACGTATTATTTCATGGAACGAAAGGAACGGAACGGAATGGAACAGTCTGCCGGTCCTCCGGCATAGAACGGAACGTTTCGAAAGCTTTTTCCCTCGGCCGAGAAGCCGGTTGGTCGATCGTTCGAACAGAGGAAAAAAAAAGAGAAGAAAAAGAATATAGAAACGACGAGTATCATTAAAAGAATCGCAATTAATCTATCTACCCCTTATGCGCCTAGCCTTCGCTACTTGTACGTGCTTCGTGTAACGATCGAGTATCCTTATTACCGTTATTATCGGTCCAATTATTGTTCACGCTTTTTTTTTCAGTCCTATATTCCAAATAACAAAGTTACGAGCGCACGTACAGGAATCGTACGCTGAACGTACCTGTTAATTATGGAACGATCGGACGAGTTTTTGCCATTTTCTGGAAGACGACGATATTCTTACTCGTTTGACAAGAAAACAGAGAAAAAGAATCGGTAAAAAAGATTCCCATGCTTGTGTAACAAGCAAAAATACAAGATCGTCGAAGCCTTGAATGATAGTATCGAACTCGTTGTCGGGTTACCGGTTCAACTACTTACTTATTTGTCGCCGAAATTCTGAACGAGGATATAGAAAATGAAACGTTAACGCGCCACGTTTTAACGATGATTCTGACTCGCGAGCGTATAAAGTTTTAAGCACATATTCCCGAATCCGAATAGAGACGGGCAGCGTTAACGTGTCAGCGAGGTATAGAGGTTGCCACGGCTCGATATTAAAGTTCTTGTCGCGAACCGAACGGCTACAAAAGTTTAGCAATTCAATTTCGTGCCAGCCGCATCGGTTCGAGGTCCAACGCGTTGGGCGTTCTCAACGATTCGCGAGATTTGTGCGAAAACTCTGCGAAAAAGTTTCCTTTAATGTATGTATCCGCGATAGAGCCTCCCTTGGCCAGAAGATACGACGGCAGAAGTATCTGCGGCGATTCGCGTGCCGCTACGATGTATTTCTCTTGAAAACAATCGTATTTCTTCCCAAGAAACGCGACCGAGAGTTTCCAGCACATTTTTCCCGGGAGCGAGTTGAAACGACGCGACGGAAAATTTCACGAACGAATCTGGCAAAAATTATTTGCCACGCGATCAATCACTCTTGCACCGTCTATTTGATCCTCGCTGGTTCAATTATTTTTCCAAGCCGTTGAAAAATTAATGCGAGACTCGATGCGAAATAATCTCGATGCCTCTTCGAACGAAAGGTACTTCGACGGTACAGAAGACGACGCGTGGAGCCTCGAGAATTCGTAAAATCGTATTTTCCTTTTCTGTCGGCGAGTTCAACTTTCTTCTTTCTTTCGCTTAAAAGTTCACCGTGAAGGGAAGCGAACGTTCAAGAATTGATTTTTGCCACTCCGATCTCGGATTTCTTTCGAGACTCGTATACAGGGCACGAAGAACCTTAACCCCATAACCCTTTACGAACAGAGTATTTCGAATCTCAAAATGATCGGTTCTACGAGTCGACTCGAACTTTCCACAGAAATTGTACACAACGAATATCTGCTCGGCAGATTTACGCTACGAGACTTTGGTTTTCTCTCGAAATTCTAAAGTCGAGTCTTCTCTATCGAGCTCGTTTCTCGAGTCGATTGTTGAGACAAAGAAAAGACCGACAAGGACGTTTTCGACTGTTTAACAAAAAAAAAAACGCATAAGCAGGATACAGGATTTACGTAAAGAGGAAAATGGTTGAAATCGGTGAAGTCGCGTGACGACCAACGTATCCTGTTTAATCGAACGAAACTCGCGAGCAACGTTCTCGTACTCTCATCGGCGATATTCAAATTTCTTTCGCGAGAGTTTTAACGAAGTCTAAGGAAAAGTTCGGGGTCGGCTTCGTCTTCGATGGAATAATAGGTGGCTTAACCGAAGTGGCTTAAACTTTGGCCCTGCCCTCGAACGTCGATTCCTCCCACGACTCTCGGCGAGAGAAGGCCGCGAATTTTAATCGGGAACCCACGCCGAGAACTTGGCCACCTCAAACTTTCGACTCTCCTTCGTCCCGCAACACTCGACTATTCCTACCTTGCGAATATATTATTTTCTCACGGCGAATCGACTCGGTTACCGAACCGTGTGATCGCTTCCGAAGTAACTCGGAACCGACGGAAACCAAAGAGCTTCGTTATCTCGGTACTCTCGTATCGAATATTTCGCGAGAAATCTTGATCGTTCAGTTTTTTCATCGATAACGATACGCGTATCGAACGCGCGCGACGCATAGATGTCTCGGTCCAACGATCGCTTCCTTTCTCGAGGACGGAGAAAACGAAATCGAGCTGTTCGCAAATAAAATTTCTCCGCGCAATTTAATCCGGGCTTCCTACCAATTATCTTCGTTCTTCTCGCAGCAATTACTTCGATAGTTTCCCTTTCCACTTTGCTTTCTTCTACTCGACTACACCCCCGTTCGACGATTACCGCGAATTTTACCGAGAAACCAAACGAATCGAACCGCTTCGAGTTCCATTTTCCTTCGTTGCTCGTCTTTCGACTTTAACTCGGAAAACAGCGATTACACGAAAGTAATCGCGATTCCTCTTTATTTCTCATCGGGACAATTCGCCGCGTCTTCAAATACATTGCTCCCCCCTCGAGGGTAATACTCGACTTATCGAGCAGGAATCCGTTTGCCTTGACCGTGTCTCAGCCATTAAATTCTTTCCGTGCGACTCAACAACCGTATTAGTAAAATTGATCGGCGTAGTATAGGATCTGGTCGGAGTCGCGGTTGGTCGCGATCGAATCGAGTTGTTGGAACGACGAGAGTGCCGAGTCTGCGGGAGTGCTCGACTCGTGCTCGGTTCCTCTGGCAAACGCGAATAGTGGGGATAAGTGGATACGCGTACGAGTCTGGCGAAGGGAGAAGCAACAAAGTCGGATCTCGAGTAAGAGGCAGACGGAGTTTACGAACGGCTCATCGAATCCCGATGTAAACCAAGAGACGGCATTTCGAACTCGCTCGTTCTCGCACGAGGGCGGTTTTTTCTCGTTTCACGATCATCGAGGCTTCGCGATCGGTGATCACGAATCGCGCTGCTCGACATTGCATCTCGTAACGCGGTCGTCGTTCGGTCCTAACGAGTGCCTCTGTGAAATTCTCGATAGCCATGCCGTTCTTCAAGAAACTGAGAAGATTTTCAAGACACAAGAGTAAGTCTCCTCCTTTTTGGTTTATCCTTATATTTAAATAGCTATTCGATTACGCTCCGATCATCGTTGGTTGTCGTCGAAACGCGAAAGAGCACGCAACGCGCGTTCGCTTCGTCGACAAAAACCGCTACCTTAGAACGTTCCAAGAGAATTTCGTCGTTCCGGTTCGAAAGCTTGATCAGCATCCGAGAGAGGTCGAGGAAAAAAAGATTCCGCAGCTTTGTCCGGGAGGTTGAACTCGTTTCGAGAGTAATTACATTTTCGTAAGATAGCGCGTCGTTCCTGGCCGAGTTTCGCGTAATGGAATTCCAGCGACGCGGCGAGGGAAGTCTCCTGGGGAAGAAGTTGCTCGAGCTCCCGTCTCTTTCCCCGTTCCCGTTCCCGTTCCTCTTCCCATTCCCGTTCGATTCGATCTCCTTCTTAACGTAGTTTCCAACTAGTCGCGACGTCCTGTTTTCTCGACAACGAATCGGCCATCGCTTCGAGCAGCCTGCGAAACGCGATCTCCGGACAACACGATTTTCCTCCTTTTCCGGTTAAATTCGTATCTAAACCTTTCTTTCCTCCGCGAAAACCTCGCCCACTTTCCACGATCGCGTACACTATAACGAGCCAGCCTTTCTTTTTTCTCTCGTCGCGTCGCTACAGAAAGGACGATCTCGTTTTCCGAATCTCGAAGAGTAACTTTTTCGCTTCGCGTCGGTCGATCGTAACTCGTGCAGTTTTCGGCGGTACCGAAAATCAAAAATGTACGATCGCGCAACGGGGGGAATCGCGCGGAAAACAAATGACCAGAAGTAACGCCGGACTCGAGAAACTTGCAACAATCATTCGCCGTCCAACAGTTCGATCGATGTTCCTGGAAATTACTGTTTCTCGCGGTGCGGTGAATGAATTCGTCTCGCGCAAGGAAAATGTTACGACGCGACGCGTCGTAGAGGTTCGATCGGCGTTGCCAATGATGTATCGGAATGTTCGTTTCCTACGAATACTTTTCTTTCCACCTAGGTAACGCGCGTTTCTTAATTATATCTCTACCCAGCTTCGGAACCGTTTTCCTTTCACTTACGAACGCCAAGCATCATTTTCTACACCGATTATTCGATACCGACGTAATTTTTCTGTTTAATAACGAAACTACGATCACGCGAAATCGACGAGACAGAGTTAAAGGGGAGAAGTAACGAACGTAGTACGCTTAGATGAGATGGTCGTGAATTACGGATCCGCGGATGTTAAATTAAATTCGATCGATTACTTTCGTCGTAAACGGTGAAAAAGCGAGGAAGCGAGCAAAGCACCGGGTATCGTTAGCCCTTTATCCTTCGATCCGGAGGCGTGGCTCGTCGAGATAAAGCGTCAAATTTATACACCTTCTTCGAGAAGATTTTTTTCCAACCATCGAATTATACCGCTTCCTTCGAGATGTTCGCCGGTGAAATTTATTCGGCTTAAACGCGACAGTTTTCTCGATCGTCGAAGAAAAACGTTAAACTATAGGGTAGCACGGGTATAACAGCGGTAGGGTATACCAGAAGACTCGATTAAAGCTCAAGGGAATAGGCAACTCGCGTTGCGAATCTTTTCCGCTTTCTCGCCGTATCGTTTCTATATTTACGCTGTCCAGTTCTTCTTCTTCTTCGATAACGGTTTATTTCGAGAGTTGAAAGCGCACTTTGTATCCGTGTCACGGCGTTATGCAATTTATTTCGATGATTCGTATGCGCCAGTCGGTCGCGATCAGATTGATCTTTGTTCGGTTTCGTGCATCGATCGAAACGAAGCCGCGTTTACACAACGCTAAGCGAGCGAATACCGCTTTTCCGATCACGGTGTCAAGTTCAGGATAGACAAAGTCGCGTTCCGGAACAGATTACTCCGGAACGCTTCGACTCCGCGTATTTAGAATTTTCGTACCTTCGCTGCGACACCGACTGTTCGCGAATCGCTCTCGAAAATACGTTGAATTATTTTTTTCGTCGTTCGCGTTCGATTCGATTCGATGTCGTTTCGACGTCGCTTCGATTCTACTAAGGCGATATCCGATTCGATTAACGATTCGAGTAAATCGAGCATTTTTTTCGCGAAACGGTAAAAGGCGAGCGAAAGCGGAAGAAAGCGTGGGCAGAAGAGTATCGCCAAGGACGGTTTCCGCGTCGGGAAGCGAATTTAATTTACCGTCAACACGTTCGCGGTGTCGAGCAGAAAATGCACGAATGAACAGCGTTGGCTCTGGCTTTTGAACAGAGAGAAATTGGATCGGCGCGTGACGATGCCGGTTCTTGCGTCGATAGCGAAAAAAGAACAGACGGAAAAAGGATTCCGAGCAACGGGAGTCGGATAGATGAACGGAAAAGGTAAATCGAGCATGTCTTCCCTGATGGATTTTCCTCTCGTGCCACGTTCGTCTTCTCGCGTTTCTTTGCTCTCCGCCTTTTCCATTAGACTTATACAAAATTAATTTCATCGATATTCTAATTCCTAACCGATCGCGGAATCCTCGACGAATTCGAATCGCTCGTTAACGCCTATCATTTAACCCCAAATCGCCGTCGCCAAAATTTCGTCGATCACGTTCCACGCGGAGGTAACAACCGGTCTCGGATTTCGTTGACGACTAACTGCTCGTTGTTCGACGACCGAAAGAAATACGAATACGACGATCGATTTGTCAGCGGGAAAAGTCGATTTACGCGCGACGTTCGTTCTTTACGCGAGGTAAATCGAAACTAGCTCGACGAATAAATATGAGGACGACGCGAGACCGCGGATATCGAATTCAGAGCGCCGGTAGCGAGCAAGAGGAATGTCAATTATGCAAATTTCACGAGAGACCCGAGCGGAATGGTAAAAAGTGGCAAAGGTTGGATCGAAGTCTTCGTCGCTGAAGAATTCCGTATTTGTTTATTTATTTTTTCGAGATGAACTTTTTGCACTCGAGCCGACCAACGAAACTTGTCATTTTCAAAAGTAGGGGAAATGCGCGAGCTCGACGGTGGAGGTAAAAAACAAAACGTTGTAATTTCAACTTAAAACGGTTGTTTTATGCGAGTACCTACCCCTTATACATATAATACCGTTTCGACTTTCAACTTTTTTTTCGAATTATCCTCGACTACTGACCAACCTGGAATTTTAAGATCGAAAAAACTTGAAATTTTGCCGCTCGTACGGTGTGTCGAGTGCTCGATCGTTCGACACGAGTTCCAACAGTGACACGATACGTAAGCCCGCGATGTCCACGAGTTTGCGGGCAACGAGTCGACGAGCATAGGCAAATACTCGATGAGTGTAGCGTGTACTCGAGGGATACGGAAATAACACTGCTGACCACGGTACGCGAACGGGTGTTCGCCGTCCCTCGAGAAATTACTCGATTTTCCTGCACTCTCCGTTCTCCGTTTTCCAGCCTTTCGCTTGCGCGTCCTTCCAGGAACAAGTATTCCTCGCTTGCCACGAGATTTACGGCCTTTTCGTGGATCAACGTAGCGAAGCTTCCGCTAGCGAAACAAAGAGGAAAAGCGTTTCCATCTCTTTTTTTTTTCTTCTTAATCCGATTTTTTTTTTTTTTTTTTTTTCGTTCTAACGAAGAAGGATAGCGTTTACGCCGAACGAAGAAATCCGAATCGCGCAACGATGAACCGCCCGACAGTCCCGTGCGTCCTGTTTTCTCTCTTACGCTTTCGGTAAAATTAATTTAACGCCTCGATTCGCTATCTCGAATTACTGGCGCAACTTGAACGGTACGCTCAACGTTTCAGCTAACTCGTGACAGCGAAGAAAGAGATTAATCGCAGACGCAGCGGAGTGTCGCGATGAAAAATCGAGAGAGCGGCGCGTACGCGGCCGAACAGATAGGTAACAATCATTTTCTCGACTTCCTTCCGAGACGCGTTTCCGAGAAGGAAATACCTGCCAGAGACTCGATTCTTGCATCAGCCAAGTTCGTACTCTCGTTCAGCCCAATTACTCCCTCCGTGCGTTCCCTTTTCCCTCTTCGCTGTTGCCCAGGCGTCGCCCGTTCATCGTCCCCTTCTCGCTCTTTTCCCTCGGCGCGCCTGTAATCGGCCTTCCAGACAACACACGCCGACGACTCGTTATACTTACACACTTTCAACCCTGAATTCTTTCGCGTGCCTTTCCATCGCGAGAGACTGCATCGAACTTGCATCAGCCGACTCGAGACAGTCGACGAATCGAGGAGACGCGATATATCCACCTGCAGCGGCCTAACGGTCGCCACTTTTTTCTTACTTTACTCCGGTCGATCGATCTCCTTCTCTCCATTCCGTTCCCTTCTTCTTTTCTCTTCGCGCGTTTGCACGATCGGTTATGAAATTCTCGAAAGTCGTCGTCGTCGGCCGTTCGCAACGGGCGTAAGTACTCGCGACTAGGCCGAACAAACGCGTACAATACGCTAAGGACAAGCGCGCGTCATGGCAATTTTCCCGAGTCTCTCTACCCGTCCTTCGCGCGTTCGAACAGTTGAAACTTTATTAGTCCCGTTTCCGTTCCCTGTCCTCGCGATCCTACGAAGCTCTTTCAGGAGGAATAGATCGTGTCGGTGTACGAACGATCAGAAAACAACTATCGAGAGGTAACGGCTTTGATCCCCGTAATTATTTTCAGTTCAGAGTTCGCTTAGGCGAATCGCTATAGAGGATCTCGATACAAACGATAGATACTCGTTTACGTCAAGCCGTCGTTCTCTTTTTCGATAGAAAAACAGATTATGTTACACGAAGGAAAAGCAGGATGGACAGTTTCGATGGCCGAAGAGTGGAGCCGATTGAAAGAAGAAACACGACAAAGAGACTTTGCCGTGGCCTCGACATCGTCGAAGGTTCGTGTCGGTGGATCGAGGTTAGCCGAAACAACTAAAAGAGACCAAAACGATCGAATCCGCAACCGGACCTGACCCACCGAGCTAAAGAACGCGAAGAGGAAAAGAGACCGGAGAAATAAGAATGACGGAAAGACGAAGAGGCTCGAACAGTCAG